TTCTGTAGGTTTGACGACGTGCTCTTTCATTTGGGCAGGTCAAGGAAATTTTTTAGTGAAAATGGTTTTTCGATTGAAAAACCAAGATCTTTAAAAAACGGGTCTTTAAATCGAAAGCGGGCAAAAAACCATTGTGATATTCGGAATCAGCACGTTCGATTACCTATTGTCAACTGAGTTTAAGCTCAAAAGCGAGGAGGCAGTTGGTGGCGTTCCCTCGTAAGTTTAAAAGTGCCAGAACGAGAACTGGATTTTTCCAAGGGCTCGAAATAGGCACGGTTAAAAAAGTCGGACCGATTTGGCAAACCTAACACCACTTTTTCCCCGAGTACCTAGAGCCAATATTTTGACGTGGTTCGATTCATCGGAAGCTCCTCTTCAAAAGTTTATGTCCAGATTTTTGAAATGTTTTTTCTTCGCTGAGAAAAATCGTTTTTACTAAATCAGAGGCGAAAAAGTCGAAATTGTCCTACTTTCTCCAACAGAAAGCAACTTCTATGGAATAAAAATATCATTCTATCGAAAAAAGTTTCCAAAAAAAGTGGAAGACACATATTCGCGATCAGCGCGGAATTCTGTGTCGGATAGGCTAAAAAAACGTCGAAAAGTTTTCCACTTCTAGTATGCCTTAGGCGCATCTTACATTTTTCTACGAAACTGAATAGGCTCGTCTTCTGTAAACATACTTGTTGAAGTTGTCGTGCTACTGGTGCTGGTAGTAGTCGTTGTAGTTGTTGAAGCTAAATTGAACATTAAGATATAAATTAACACCAAGCGCCTGCCTCTACGCACGCCCGTTGCTTGAAACCGCACGGTTTTCATTTTTAGCTTACTTGTTGTCGATGTAGTTGTCGTAGTTGTAGCAGTAGTAGTAGCTAAAACAACATTATTAATTCAGTGTATAGTGGTGACGACTAGATCAATGAAAGAATGCAGAGACACTTGTTGATACTTAAAGTTTTTACTGTGAATCTGACAGTGAAGTGTTTGTCGTAATTTTTGTTAGTACTTAAATATTTTTAAATTATTCAGAAAGCTTCCTCGTCATTTATCTCTGGCAAAATAACTAGTTAACTAACTTGTCGATGTTGTTGTCGTAATTGTGGTAGCTAGAAAGACAAATTACACTTGGTTTCTCTTCTTTTTTGTGGCTAGCAACTTCAAATTCAGCTATCAAAGTGCAGAACTCACTTGTAGTCGTTGTACTTGTGGTCGTGATCGTATTTGTCTTCGATGGTAATAGAAGTGCTAATAGTACAGCTAGTCCAGCCAGCAGTAAGATCAAAGCCAACGCTGTACATAGACAACAACATGGAGAACAACAAATATATGCACCTAGACTAAAATTAAAAGGATATCTTATGAAATATGGATCGATATTTGTACGAAAATTTGATGAATTATTTACCTTTTTCTACGTCGTTTACGTTCCTTTTTCTGCTTTTCATTTTCTCCGAATGTGTTATACAGAAAACGACGTTTTTGATTAGTGACAGACGATTCTGTTTCATCGGATAATTTGTCGTTGAATAAATTCTGCTAAGATAAATATGGAATTTTGACTTTTTATCATAGCAAGAAAAATGTCGTGTAACCCACTTGTGGATTATCTGGTATATCTCCAAGTTTGCCTAAATTTAATGAATTTAATACGGAAAATGGGTTAGCGATGGCAACTTTAGGCGATGGTGATACCAGATTATCTTCTTTTAATTTCAACGATACCTGTATAGTAAAGTAGAAGAAACTTTTATTTATTTTGTATCTTATTTATTTGTCAGACAGTCGATCTGTCTATTATTAACATACAAAACTGACTGTTGCTGACGACTGCCGGCGTACACGTTGCACTCGTGGATTTACAGCTGATTTTGGTATTTCAATTACCGATAATAAAGGCGGCAGGACTGAATATCTTTCTACAAATAAATCACGTTTTGATTTCACTACATTCTAGAAATAAATACGTTTATTTCAATGAAAATTAATTAATTTAATTTCAATATACCTAAGTAGAAAAAATCACTTACATCGTCTTCTGCTGCTGATGATATTATGTGCTGATTACGATTTCCATTATCTTCTTTCGATGCTGACGCCTCCTGTACGATAATATTTAAAAGAAAAATATACTCGCAGTCGATGAATATCGGACAAGTAAACTAACTAGTGAATCTGCATCTTACTCGTTTGCTTGATTTCTTTCTTGCTGATCTTATATTTGCTAACGTGGAGAGAGACAGTCTCTCTCAGTGATCCAGATCCAGATAAGATTTTCGAAAAGTTTTTAGATGGATCGATAGGTCATCATCTGCCAGAGAGATCTGTCGAATCAGTTTTCAAAAATGTTAAAAAATAAAAAAGTTATTAAAAAAGCGAAATTTGCGTCGCGTTTTTATTCCAAATTCACCCTAATCAACTCTATTTCATCTGAATATGATTTCATTTTTTGTCGACTGTTGTCGTTTAGCTGTCGTAACTATTGTTGTTTAACCGTAGTCATCAGTTCTTTTAAAAGAATCAGACGCATAACTTGTAACAGGCATGTGTGTATCTTAGACGCACTAACTAAGAATCTGATTAAAATCTTAGTCAATTCTTATATGCACTTACTTGAACTTAGTTGATTAAGAAATGTTTTTTAAAAGAAAACTTGTTCAAAACTCTGATAGCGCACCATTGTGACTAGCGAAAATGGGACGTGTTTAGATAAGAGAGCAGAATTTCCCGTGTACTTTCTCTGAAATTTACGATCTGACTCTCTATCTACACTGACTTTTCCTTTCCAGATCGAGATTATGACATGATAACAGCGTCGACTCTTCGACGAAAGCATTAAAATTTGACTCCACCACGTTCTCGAAGAAAAGTCAGAGTAAAACATCGTAGAATCAAACCTAGAAAACAAAACGGTGACTGAGAAAATGTGACAATAGTGCGTGCCAATACCGAATCAGTGCAACATGGCATGTCATGCGTACTGGTTGTCGGCCTTTTTTCAGTGCTGCACTAAAACATTTTTTGTGAGGGAGCCGATCAAATTTCTCATAAGAAGCTTGTAGAAATCTTACAAGAATGTGGTAGGACTTTCATGAGAATGGGATAAAAATAACGTACGAGTTCTGCCGATTCTTATCAATTTCTCATAAAAGCTTATGTGAACCTTACAAGATTCTTTTAAGATTCAGCGTAATTCTTGTCACTTTCTTGAAAGATCTTATATAAGAATTGAGTAAGATTTTTATTAGATTCTTGTCGGATTTCATAAGTATGTAAAATGTAAAAAAGAGTTCAAGAGTTTTTCTCTAAAGATAGCAACGTACTTTAGTGCGTATGTGACTTGATTTAACTCTAGTCACTCGAACTGCTGATGATGACAGTTTTGGTCTTAGTGAAGTTGATCCAATTCCATTAACGTTTTGTTCTTGTTCTTCCTGTTGTTCTGGTACCGAGTGCTGGATCTCATTTTCAACAAGTTTCTAAACCAGAGAAAATATTTTGATTGTGATCGAACAGTCAAAATATTTGATTACCGGGGAACATGTGGGGAAAAAGACAGATTTTACCACGTTGTGTTCACTACTAATATGTGGTCTTATCAGAAGATAGACTTTTATATGCGCATCTCCGTGTAAATTGCATTTTATTACATACTGTCTCAGTCGTTGCCTCCGCTTCCATTTTTCTCATCGATTTAATTCTGGACACTGTTGATGTCATTGTCACCACTAAGTTTTTGTTCGCTATCAATATCTGTCATTTTCAACAAAAGGTAGCTTAGTGCATTTTTTTACATGTAATCGAATTTTTAGAAACATAAAAGTGCTATATGGTTAACTAACACAAAACAAAAAGTCTTCGTTTTTGAAGGTTATAATGGAATAAAGCGAACGTACGTTTCGTACATAAGCAGAATCTATCAGTCAAACATGAAAGAAATATATTACACAGCTATTTATTTACATGAAAAAAATAATTAATTTTTTGTTTTATTCTTCGGTTTTGTACTTGGGAAAGACGATTGACGAAAGAAAGCGAACAAATGAATTGAGAACTTCTAAGAGAATATATTCAACCTACTTATAGTTTTTTTTAATTAAATGTATTGATGATATGATAATAGTTTTTGTTTTGGTTATTGTTTATCTATTGATGGTGAATAAAATAAATAAAATAATGCGCATGATGATAAATACGCACATATTTCATTCTATGAAATATGAAATATCTGCCAGAACTTCTTGCGGTAAATATTCAAATGTAACAACATTTTTATTCATGACGGAATCAGGGCTGCGCAAGTACGAGTCCATACTGGAAGATTCTTCGGTGGACTTTGACTTGGACTGGAGATGTTTTTAAATGACTTGGACTAGACCTTGTGTTTTTATATTCGATTCAGCTTTTAACATAGATGAACAGAGAAATTTGAATTTTCACAATATTATTACAAGATATATAGGCGCACATGTGTCACTCTCTTTGAAAATTATGCTCAAAAAATGTATTATACGACACAGGAGACGAAGAAAATTTCAATGAAAAAAGTTTGAAAAAATTATTGGACTCGAATTGACTTAGGACTTGGACTTGCGACTGCATTTCAAGGACTCAGACTCGGTTTGCTTGCTTCATGACTTGGACTTGGCTCGGACTCGCCCAGTCCTGTGACTCGCGGAAGAGACTACTATGAGCATAATAATTCTTATCGATTGTAAGAGATGGTGAGAAGGAAACACACAGAAATTGAAAAGAAAAATAATGATTGAATTTTCTTTGTCTATGATCTCTTTTGTGCTGTATCTCTTCCGTATGATAATGACCTGGATGCCTTTCGAGCCCAAGTAAGTAGCATTCACACTTGTTGTGAAAAAATGCTTGTCCATTTGAATGTTGATAAGCGTCAATAGGTGATTTTCGACAACAAGCCTATTTTTCAATCGCCAGCTATTATCAAGTTAGGAGAAACTCCTCTTGAGCGAATGAGTGAGATCAAGTTGCTCGGACACTACGCTTTTCCTGACTTAAAATTATTATTACTAGTAACAGTAGTTGCTACACTCTAAAAAAAAAGCGTCGTGCACAAAACCTAAAAGGGTTTAGAAAAGTGTCCCAATCAGCTACCCCTATGGTTTGGTAAAATGCCGCAAAGAGAGGTATCGTAGATGCCCAAAACCCCCTTC